GACTGGAGACCTGTCCAGGTGTCCCTGTGATGGACTGGAGACCTGTCCCCTGCCTCTCGCACAGTGATTGCTGGACATGGGCAACAGTGAGCCCCGTGACCTGAAAAAGAAGAATTGGGTAAAGATAATGGATGGATGGATGGATGGATGGATGGATGGATGGATGGATGGATGGATGGATGGATGGATGATTTTTTTATGTGTACAAATTATTCAATTTAAAAATGGGCAAACTGCGCAGGAGAGTGTTATTTTGCAGCACAGTTTGGAGTGCACATCTCCTTTTGTGAGTGCTTTGTAAATTAAGAGGGATACACGAAATCCAAACTTTGTGAGCAAAAAATGCACATTCCTTGGCGAGTTTGCACGTGGTAAAACTCTTACAACGCCTGATTTTTATACATACAAAGCATCCTGTAAAAAAATAAATATTTTAGTGTGACGAGTGGATATAATCCATGAGTTTTGACCTTTTGACCTGTCTGACCCAGACAACTGCATATGGACACAGGGCACGTACTACCTCGTTAATCTTCCAGGACTACATTCGATTGCTATTAAAAAGGGAAACAGTCGTATTCTACGCAGTATAAAGATTACAGTGTGTGTGGCAGCATATGTGTATCTTTAACATGCACACGAGGCAAACTCATAAGAACCAAGAACCATATGTGTACACAGTTTGGGTCAAGTTACATTATACATTACACATCACACTAATGAGGCCCTTCTGTGCTACTGAATATAAAATTATTCCCTACATCTACGAGCATGTAGCTTGTAGGTGTAGAAGTTAATTCTTCGTGAAGCTCATTGTAGCCAGTAATAAGCTTCCAATGTTATAGTTGTCAGCCATAGAAAGTACAAATCCTTCCTCATAAGCATGTGTCCATGCAGCACAGAATACCTAATACAGACTGGGTGAGTTTGTTCTGGCTGGAATAATGATCAGTGGACACACATCCTTGAGAAGTTATTGATCCTTGAATCAATCTCAAGGTGGTTTTCTGCTTCTAGAGATGTAGTTATTGTATAAATGCATCTAAAATAACCATTCTCTGAGTATAATCTGAATTCCTTGAAAGAAACATTTTGTGTGTGTAAGACAGACATGGCAAGAGATGCATGGAGGGATGTGCACAGTAAATGCCTACATCTCTGTTGTAAAAATTAAAGAGGCTTACTGTAAGCAGATTCCAAAAAGCTGGTATTAACTAGTGACCAGTCACACTGAGGCCGAGGGCTGGAACAGTGAGCCGCTGCTTCATGTGTGGTGCTCAAACTACAGACCCCTGCTGGTTTGGTTTGATTAAACAGAAACTAAACACACCACTAGATTTTCAACTGCACTGCCCAGATGTCATCTCTTCATATATGCAACGAGTGTTTTCCCTCCACATGTGCTTAAAATAATGCTCACATGGACAGTAAAAATCGAGGAGAAACTCAATGTCCCTCACATGCACCATATTTTTCACCCTATAAGTCACGTTTTTTTTTTGCATAATTTGCATGCCCTACAACTTATACACCTAAGCACCATATTTATGGATTTTTTCCCATATTTATAAACCAATTTTTGGCTGAGATATGACTGTTTTCATTCATTCTGACTGAAAATATTGAACACTACCATTTTCAGCTGCTAGATGGCACTGGAGTAGTGTGGCATGCCATTGTGTCATGTAATAGGTAAAAGTGGCTATTAATGACACAATTGGCTTGCCACAGCCTGCCACTTTTGTCCAGCTCGCTTGGAACAGCCGTCAAATCAGCTTCATTTCTCTGCGCCGCCCCGGAGAAATGCAGCTAATTTGACCATTGAAGTGCATTTATTAAGTAAAAGTTAGATTGAGACACACACTTACTATAATGTCGAGCAAACAAATAATTGTTTTAGGTGGTTATTTTGTTAAATTTCAAAGAAATGCACAGCGTTCCTCCTTTCTCATTTCCTCTGTCTGCGCACTCCCGGAACACCGAGGCAGCGAATACTTTTGAAATGCAGCTGAATGCATACTGTAGGGATGGCACCATCTAGTGGGCCTCCCTTGTCTGTACGCCCTAGTGTGTCTCCCCATTAATCCTGATTGGTTTCTCCTTTGTCTGGTCCCAGCTGTTTGTAATTATGTCCTGTCCTGTCTGTGTATATAAGTCTGTCTGTTAGTCTTGTTCTTTGTCGTGTCGTTGTTGGGTCTACCCTGTCTTGTCCTGACCTGGCCCTGATGTGTGCCAGTCCTGACCTGATTTGTATCATCAGTTTGGTAAGTTTGCTGCCACGTCAGCCATTTAATTTATTGTCATTAAAAGTATTTATTTTTGTAATTTTGAGTCCGAGTTCCTGTCTGCACCATTGAGTTTGTTCCTGCCCGAAAAACCCTGACACAATCGATTTTTGGCACAACACCAGCCCACATTTCTGGATTGTCACCAGTGATGCTTAACAAATGCGACACGTCAGCTGTGACGCATAATAGATGTGACTTATACGGCAAAGCGACATATTTATGGATTTTTTCCACTTTATTAGACATATTTGGACTGATGTGACTTATAGGGCGGTGCGATGTGTACAGTGGAAAATACGGTACGTAGGTTACCGGGACCCCACCATGAGGCCAGACCTGGGAGAGGGTCAAATTAGGAGGGACATAGCAAGTACCTGTTTGGCTTGTACTCATGGGACCCAGAACAACATGGGTTAGTCTTCCTGTTGTCAGAGTCTGTGTTTTCTTAGTTATTCTTAGTTCTTAAGTGTTTGTTTTTATTCCCGCTGTGTTATATGTTCCTTGTGTTTTACTTGTCATTTGTTCTGTCTTCCCAGTGTTTTTCCCCCTCATGTAGTCACTTCCTGCCCCTCCTACTCTCACCTGGTCCTCGTCTCTCTCCAGGTGTTTGTCATTTGCAGTCGTTAGGGTCCCTTTACGTACGTTATCATTTTGTTTGTCCCTCGTCTGTGGATTGTGCTTCCCACAGCCGTGCATGCTTTGTCCCTCCATGCCTCTACACACTGACTATTCTTGTAAGTTTTGCTTCCACGTCAAGTCTTTTTTTATGTGCTACTAAACCCTTTTCCTTTGTTTTTACATCTGAGTTCCTCAAGTCTGTCTGCGCCCTGGGTTCAACTCTTCTGAACCAAAACGTGATACCTGTGGGCTCATCACCTGCATGAGAGGCCATATGGGTCGGGTGCAAAATGCAATGGGCAGTGTCTGAAAGCAGGGGCCTTGGTGTCAGACCCTAGCTTAACCAAGTTTGCTCTAGACATGAAATGCCACCTCTCTGGTGGGAAAAAAGCCTGAGCTTGTGCGGGAGGCTGAGAAGCACAGATTAGAAAGAGTTGGACAGACCTCAACACAGAGTGGATTCTGCAAACAATAATCTTGAGAAGGGTTTGGACCTTGTTCCACTCTAGAGTTGTCTATGGAGAGAGGCACCAGGTTGGTGTCGGCCTACCTTTAGCTCCCTGGCTTAGTCCCTGTGCATTGGAGTTTCCCTAGTTGATGATAGAGAAGACTCCCTGCACCTTCAGGTGAGGGGATGGGCTCTAACTGTTTTTTTTTTTTTGCCTATGCAACAATTCTTAGATGGGGTGCTGGAAAGCTGCACCAGCTGGAGACTCTAGTATTCTACTGGGGGACTTCAATGCCCACATGGGTTGTGATAGTGCAACCTGGAAGGGGAAGATTTGGATAAATGTGCTCTAAGACCTGAACCTGAGTAGTGTTCTGTTATTGGACTTCAGTGCTAGTCACGATTTGCCCATCACAAACATTGAATTCAAACATAAGGGTGTCCATAGTTGCACTTGACAACAGAATGTCTTAGGGTGCAGCTCAATGATGTACATAGCCGTAGTTGTGTCATCTGCCCTGCTGCCGTATGTTTCTGATACTTGGGTGTAGCACAACTTTCAGTGGATCACTACTTGGGGGTGAGGAGGCATGGGTCCTCTCATAATTGGGGCTGAGGTTGCCAATACGGTTAAAATGCTCTACAGCTGCAGGGCTCTGGAGGTGAACAAGATCTGCCTTGAGTTCCTCAAGGCTCTGGATGTTGCTGGGCTGTTGGTTGACATGCCTTTGCAACAGTGTGTGGACATTGACAGAATGGGGTGGTGGCTTTTCTTTTCAAAACTGGAGGGTATGATCAAATTAAGGGAATCACTCTCCTCAACCTCACAGGTAAGGTCGAGAAGAAGAGTCCGGTTCATGGTTGAACCTCAGATTGATTATGGTTCTTGAAGAAAAATTAGTTTAGATCAATGGAAATGAGAGCAGTTGTTAATAACGTCTAATCCTCATGTTTCAAAACAAAAGCTGAGTTTGACTCCTCAAATTAAATATAGAGTGATCATGAACAAAAACCGATAGTCCATCCAAAACTCACAAAACAAGTGTGTGTGTGTGTGTGTGTGTGTGGGGGGGGGGGGGGGGGGTCTCACCTTGCTGACTGGGCTCAGGATCAGCCTGGTTCTTTTTAACAGTGAGGTCCAGCGGGGTGTCCTGGTCAGCCATGAGAAGTTTACTGAGGACGGGGTTCTGTGCAGAGGCAGCAGCTGTGCCCCCTCCTCCCCCACTGTTGCTGGCTCCCCTTCCGTTGCTGCTCTGGGTGCAGGCGGGTGCTGAGACAGCAGCAGCAGAGGTGGGGCTGAAGCCTGCTCCCGGGGTTGGGGATGGAGAGGAGGAGGCAGACGATGGAGGAGAGCTTGGCACCGGAGCGGAAGGGGAGCTGGGGGCCGGGGCCAGAGACGATGCTCTCGGCAGGCTTTGGTCCTTCGTGGTGCCGTTGGGCAGGGGCGGGTCGTCCTGAGTAGTTTTTGAGGTATATTCGGCAGCGAACTGGTGGATCATTCGCTGCATGATCTCACGAGCCACTAGAGGAATGTGAGGGTCTGAGAAACTTGGGAGGTCTGGAAAGGGAAAAACAGAAGAACATACATATCAGCGTTCCGTCCTCGAGGAATTTGTTCATTTGTTGGCATGTTCAGCTGCTTAGTTATTCCGTTTCATCCTAGAAATTTAATCCTGATGCTATGCTGAAATAATCCAAAAATCATCCAGAAACAGTATTAATCCTGCCTGTTGACCATGTTGAAACACAGTGATATCCGTGTTTACAGCAGATTATGGCCTGATGCTCTTCACATTGAAACTTTATACTTTTCCCTTTATTTATTTAGTTAGTCGAGATTTGTTGTTTTCACCTTTCAACACTTTTTTGTTGCTTGAATTCATCTGCCCAAACTGACTCATGTAGACAGACACCCCCTTTTCTAATCTACAGCTACTGTAGATTTCAGTACTGCTAAAACAGATCAATAAGTAATTTAACAAAAATAAATAGCCATCGATTTCAATAAGCACGTAATTATTTATCAAAACAAAAAAATTACTAGCATACATTTGCAGCTTCTTGTAGTTTTTGCTTCTTTTTATTCTTTGTTAAATTGTTTATTATAAAAGTTTGAGACATAAAATATTAAGTCTTAGGCAATATTGTGTGGGCTTTTATGAAATGGTAAATGCTTCCTTATTTTCACGTTCCATTTTTCAGATACATTTTCAAACAATCGGCGCTCCACCATCGTCTACAGATCAAACCTGATCCAGAGAAGATATTTTGTCTTGGCTTGTTATGAACTTGGGGCTTTGTGTTTGTAGTGCCTTTTTCCAGCTAGTCTAGCTTCTATGTGACGCTTCTTGTTTCACTTGGACCTGTTCCTGTGTTTGCTTGGTCTACTGGTTATCACTGCCCATCATTCCCCCAGCTCCTGGGTTCCTCGTCACCTCCCAGCTGCAACTCATCTGCTCAATCCGCTCACCTTGCCCTTGTTCCAACGATCACTGCTTCCTGTTAAATAGTTCTTGGTTTCTTATTTTCATGATCAGATCCTACAAATGGCTCTCTGCTTTGTGTTTGGTTCGTTTTTTACACCTTGTGCCTAGATGGACTTCCTGTCGATTTCTTGGGATGCTTTTTTCTTTAATTTTTGTTGTTGCTTTTTACTACATCCAATAAAGTTTTAGTATTTTCTGTTCTGGTGCTGTTTGCTTGCAGACGGTCTGACGAGGCTCGATCAAGCTCAGTTTTTGTCTCTCATCCTGGATTAGTCAGTTCTATTTTTGTGTAACAGCCCACTGGGCTGCACTTTGGGTCTTTAAGAAACCATCATTCAAATCTAATATAGTTATTATAATGCAACTAAATAGTGATGGCCTCATCTACACTACTCTGGAGGCTTTTTCAATTAGTGTTTTTCTCCATATTTATGTACTTTTTTCTCTTTTCACACAATCTTGACAACATTTCTGGTGACACAAAGCATATCTGCTCTAACATCTATAGTTTAAAGCACAGCTCAGCAACTGAAATGATAAGAAAATTGACTTTGTCGCAGTTTACGTGTTTAATTAGCCAATGCTGCACAAACCATAAGTGGTTCTGAACCGTTTCTCTAATTAAACTCAATGATAAAGTCTATATTTTTTATGAACAAAATGATTTTAAAGTGCCATGACAATGAGAAAAAAAGGTCAAGCTATAGAATATAAACATACTAAATAATAGGCAACACTTCAACGATCTTTTACAAAGCCAGTTCAACATTACTTCTAATGTATGAAGATTACACACAGCAATATAAATTGCAGCTACAGAGTTTTGGTTTTACAAATAATCTACAACCTAGGACAAAAGAAAAGTGCCTAATAGACTGCCTGACTGAATTTGCATCTGTAAAGAGATTTTTCTACACAGAGCTCAAGATGAAGGTGAAACTGCAGAATAATTTCATAAAACAACAACACTGCAGTGTTCTACAAAAAAATATAAAATACAGTTATTTACAAATCCTTATGGCTCAGAATTACACAGAGTAATTTCAAACTCTAGTTCTGTATATAGACATTCTGACATCACGTGCGCTGAAGTATGGCCGCGCTGACAGGAGCTCTCTGTCTTTTTTGTTTCTGTTGTTTTTTGTTTGAATTTTTTGCGCCTACACTGCACACCCGCGCTACGGGGATGACTGCGACGAACATCTGGAGTTTTGTTTGTCGCTGTCTTGTCATCGTGCCATCGTGGTTCAGTTCCCAGCCCCCTTCCTGCCTCGGGCTCAGGCTCCAGCCTGTCATGGCAGCCATCTCCAGAACTGCACTTCTAATAGTACCATGTTGCTAACAGGACCATGCTGCTAACCGAACCATGTTGCTAACAGGACCATACTGTTAACAGAACTGTGTTGCTAACAGGATCATGCTGCTAACAGGACCATGCTGTTAACAGAACCGTG